CAAGAAATGGCAGTAAATCTTTGAATGTAATCTTTTGTTTTAAATGCTTAATATTTTCTTGTATTGGGTAAAATGTTAGGTGAGAAAAAAATTGTTTTTTATTGTATTGTTTCTGCTATAAATGTAGTAAAATATTAATGATATCTTTGAGTTGGAGTCATATACTCCTCTCCATTTCAGCTTATGCTCTGCTCTTCATCTTCCCCTCGGTTCTCTCCATTTCTTTGTTTTAAAAAACCCAACAAGAGATTGAAGTCAAAATTAGCAAACCTCTTCTCTAGGCTCTTGAATTTCACTTCCATAAAGGGTGAAAGTGAGAGATTGAAGTCTAGTTTCATCACTTCCCCAAGGGATGATGAAACTAATCAAGAAAATCAATCCGAGAAGACTTAAGTGGATTCCCCATATCCTTAATGCATTAATCCTTGGTGTGGGCTCTCTCTCTCTCTGTCTCTTGGGTAGGACTATCTTTTGGAGCTTTGTTATCAACATTTGTATTTTAGTTTTATAATTACATGGGTTAATATGATATATGATTAAGAAGTTCTGTTGTTATTTATCTTGATTTCCTTTCCCCTCTCAACAATTCATCTTAAAAAATAGAATACAAGGCTGATAAATTTAGAATCTGCATTTCAAGGACTTCTATACCTTTAAACAGAAGTAACATGTCAATAATTGGGTGCTGAGACGTGGCAGGTTTTTTTGTCCTTTTTTCTTCTTTTTTGGTAGAAAAATGGAACCATGCGTAAAGAATAGATACTTCAATCCTTCCAACAAGAAAGAGAACAAGTCCTTCAATCCTGTAAAACAAGAGAGGAGTGAATCAGCAAAGAGGACTGAAGGTAGTCAAAAGTCTAGCTACTCTAAACTTGCTAACAAGAAAGGAACAACACAGCAAACATGTTAAGACCAAAAGCGCAGTATATATCATAAAATTTAATCAAAGACAATGTAAAAAAAAAAGAAAAAAGAAAAAAGATGGGTTCAAACATAATCTTTAGAAAATTCAACTAGTCACCAGACTCACCACTCAATTTCAGTGCAGAATGCAAGCCAAGGTTTCAGGACTACGAATAATTTCATATCAAAGAAAAGGGATTTAACTTGTTATAAAATATGAGAACTTAGAACAAGAATAGCAAGGCTTACTTCGTAAGGCAAAAAGAAAAAAATGAATAGTAAATCTTATACCTAATTGTTCTATTTGCATGGTTATGACAGAAAGCAAGCTGATGGCTGACTCTTACGAACTGTGTGAGGAAGCCTAAGTTTAATCGTTATCATTTTTTTTTCCAAACATCAAATGATGAGATATACAATAAAGAAACCCTCCTTTCCCCTTAATTTCTCTACTTTGTTGGGGAGATATACAACTTAGCAAGGCGATATTCAGTAATTCATTATATGTTTCGACACTACATTAAAACCAAAAGACTAACCTATTAATTCCATGGAGAGTCCATTTTTTTTTTTAAATATGTACATGACATGATTTGACATACATACATAACATGATTTGATATACATAGATAATTTTTTTTTTAAATATGTACATGACATGATTTGACATACATACATAACATGATTTGATATACATAGATAACGTCATCCATGGGTATACTCATCATAGGTTAATATTACACTCTCATTTTGCTAATTTTGCTAAGTCTGGCCCAAGACTGAAATTACCATCATGCCATTGGCATTTTGTTAAGCGGGAGACATTGAGTGATTCATTACATGTTTCGACATTACATTGAAACCAAAAGACTAACATATTAGTTCTATGGGTCTTCACATATATAAGTTACTCTTTCCTTCTAATTTCTTCGATGTGGGATTTTGACTATTCACAATCACAAGGGACTACTTCAACAAACTCAAAACTTTTAACTTAAAATCTTAAACTTTTAAGCACTTAAAATACCCTTTGGAAGTAAGTTTAATGATTATCTAATGTTTAGATTGTTCAGTGCCATAGGAAAAAGGATATCAAACAAAAAGAAAAACCCCAATGCATTAATTAATTATTCAAGTTTGTGAATGCAAAATTTGATTCAAAATATATAATCAAAGATCTATATGAATTCAGCTCATATTAAATTGTTAGGTGAAGAGGAAACACTAGACCTTCCTTCACTACAACACAGATTTCTTCCTATTTAATAGAGACTGATATAAAAGAAATAGGGTTTCAGGTGCGACACACCTCTACTTGAGAAATATGAACTGACTATAAAATTATGACATGGCTAGGTCAACAACATAT